ATATATATATATATCAGGACATATACAGACCTTTTCTTCTTGTTGTTATTCCCTGAACGGTACAGTAGAACACCTGTCCACAGCACTGACACTTCCCCGGGTTCCAGGTCATCTGGAGGTGGTTAGAGGGGACAGGAGGGCACAAGTTATAAGCAAAAACAACAGCAGTGTTAATATAAGAAGGGCCTGAGCTTCCTAGCCCTGAAGGAACTCTAATGTGAGCCCCAAATGCAATTTTCCATTTTCTAATAGGAACATCGTTTTAAAAAAAAAAGTAAAAAGAGGTCTAGGGATGTTGCTTAGTTGGTAGAGTGCTTACCTAGCATACACAGAGCCCTGGGTTTGATTCCCAGCACCACATACATTGACACACACATACATGGTGACACACAACACGCTTGTGATCCCAGCATTTGAGAGGTGCAGGCAGGAGGACCAGAAGTTTGAAGTCATCCCTGGCTGCATAATAAGTTTGAGGTCAGTCTGGGCTATGTAAAATCCTGTCTCAAGAATTTAAAAACTTAAGAAAAAAACTAGTAGAATTAATTGCAATAACATTTTGTTTGCCCCAATATGCAAACCTTCATCCCATCACAGGATCAGCATGAGGAAATGCTTATGAATATTTTACCTTCCTTTATCAGTCCCTTGACCCCTGGCCCCCGTTCTATAGTCAGCACTTATCTCAGGACCGGCCACCTCTCAGGGGTTTTGCAGTGACATGTGGCTTGAGGTGCTCGTGCTGGACAGGGTGGGGCCTGACGTGGTTTCGTCCTCCTAGAAATCAGGTTCCCTCTACTGTACTACAATGGACTGTGAAATCTGGGTGAAAGTGTTCCGGTCAGAGGGAGCAGTATGTGCAAAGGCCCCGGGGTAGGATCAAGAAAGCAGATGTGGCTAGAGTCTGGAAAGGGAGGGAAAACAGGAAACTGGCAGGAGGATGGGGCTCAGGCGAGGGGTGGATCCCTTCACCTCTGTCCACTCATTGTTGGGGCCAATGAAGGTAACTGTTTGCAGGGGCAACCTTTGCATCCTGCACCTGTCTTTTAACTACCCCAAAAGGCCACTCACATGAAACCAAATCATCCTGGACACAGTTGGCGTTAATGAACCCAAGCGTAGCTTCCTCTCCAGCATCACCAGAACAGGAGGAAATAGTGACCTGAAAGCAGAGCTCAGAGCTTTATTGACAGTTTGACACATGGAGTGCTGGCTTCCCACTCATTCACTCATTCGGAAGGAGCTGTGTTGGATGGCCATGGGGAGTCTGCAGTATGTGCCCATAGGGTGGGGCAGTAGTACCTGGCTCCCAAGCCCTGGTCTCCTTTCATGTGGCCCCTCAAGCTGTCATCCCAGATGCCAAGGTAGTTGAGGTGCCCCACAAGGCCACTCAATCAGTCAGCTGGTATTTAGTACAGCACATGGTGCCAGGAGCTGAGTGCTGGGAGAGACCATGCCAGCAAAGAGATGCAGAGAAACTGAAACTAAGCAAGCTGAAGCCAGTGGCGAGGAGGCTAGAGCAGCTGGGACCAGGTTGGCAAGGCCTGTGGCCACAGTAAGGGTTCAGAATTATTGTTTATTTGAGACAGGGTCTTGCTGTAGCCCAGGCTAGCCTCAAACTCAAGATCCTCCTGCCTCAGCCTCCTGAGTATTAGAATGACAGGCATGAGCCACCATACCCAACTTGAATGTCATTCTTAGTGAAACAGACTTAGATGTGAGACTTTGGTGGCTTCAGGATGGGGGATTGGGGGGTGGAGCCAGTGGTGACCGAATGCTTACTTTAAGAACTGTGCCTTCACTATTCCTCAGAGTAAACCTCATGTCAGCATCTTGTTGCTTCCTTGAATCTGTGATTCTTAGTCAAGATGGTTGAATAAGCAAGCAAGACAAGGAGCTGTGGGTGAGACGAGGCCGGGGGAGAAGAGAGCAGAACATGACTGACTTAGAATTCAGCCACTCCATTTTACAGATGGAGAAACCAAGGCACAGAGAACTTAAGCCATTTGTCCAGGTTGCACAGCTAGAATGTAGTAAAACAGGATTTCGAACCCAGAACCTGTGGCCTTCACCATTGCTCTGCCTACCCAGTTTTCAGGCTGCATAGTGAGCTGTTCACTGTCAATATCTGTTGATAGGCATCTTTGCTTAGGAAAGTGAGTGTTCTGAAAGGTAAATTCCAGGGAGTCAGTCAGTAGGGTCAGAGGCCCTTGTGGTCTGTGGTGTGGCAGCTCCCACTCGCAGCTCCTAATGACAGAGATCAGTCACAAGCCAGCCCTCCCCACACACCTCAGGTGCAGGATAACTTCAGTTGTCAACTTGACATACCTGGGAAGAGGGAGCCTCAATTTGGGAACCCCCTCTGTGGGATAGGATGATGGGCATGTCCATGAGGCATTTTTTTGATTGTCGAGTGATGTGGGAGGGCCCAACCTACTGTGGGTGGTGCCACCCCAGCCAGGTGGGTGGGCCTTGGTTGTATAAGAAAGCAGGCTGAGGGGCCCAAGAGAATGGCTCAGGGGTTAAGAGCACTGTCTGCTCTTGCAGAGGATCCAGGTTCTGGTCCCAGCACCCACATGGCAGCTAACAACCATCCAGGGTATCTGACACCCTCTTCTGACCTCCTCGGGCACTGCATAACACAGGTACACTTACATACATGCAGGCAATACACTCATACACATAAAATTTAAAAATAATAATAATAAATAAGATTTTTAAAAAGAAAAAGCAGCCAGGCGTGGTGGTGCACGCCTTTAATCCCAGCACTTGGGAGGCAAAGGCAGGTGGATCTCTGTGAGTTCAAAGCCAGCCTGATCTACACAGTGAGCTCCAGGCCAGCTGGGGCTATGGGGAGACCCTGTCTCAAAAAGACTAAGAAAAGAAAGAAAAAAAGTGGGCTGAGCTGAGCAAGGCCAGGGAACAAGCCAGTAAGCAGCATTCCTACGTGGTCTCTGCTTCAGTTCCTGCCTTGACACCCCTCAGTGATGAACTGTGGTCAGGACGTGCAAACCAAATAAACCCTTTCCTCTCCAAGTTGGTTTTGGTCAGCGTGTTCTATCACCGCAATAGAACACTAACTAGGACACCTAGCTTCCCAAGCAGAGTAGGCTGAGCCTCTGCGAGAAACAAGGGGTGGGGCGCAGGTAGTTGGGGGGCTGATGGGCTTTTTATAAAGCAGACAGACCCAGATCAATAATGCATGAGCCCAAAAAGCCCAGCACATTATCTCACAGTCGGCTACCACCGGCAAACAGAGGGCGGTCCTGAAAAATTCATCGGCTGCTATTTTCTGCTTGTCCGCAAGGCAGCTCAGGCAAACTGAGCGAATCTCGGTCTTCCTTGCAGTCCCGGGTGGGGACAGCTATCCACTGCCACTAGGGTCTGTTCTAGTGTCTTGCAGTTGTTATGTGTGTTCATGTTGTCTTTTCTGGTCTGCCTCCAGGTCCCTGGTTGTCACTTGGGTGTGTCAGTGCTGGGGACTGGTTCTGGGACATTAGTGAGTGGTACCAGCATTGTCCATGTATTTTCAGAGCAGTGAGGGATTGATTGTCTGTCCAGAGATGCATAGAGAAAGACATCATCAAGATGATGCGTGTGACATCCCAGTCCTCTCACATGCCACACTGTGTCCAAGGAGGCCAGGGAGCTGCTTGATTCTGCCAGTGTGGGCCAAGTTAATTGGATGCAAGCTGAGTTCAGTATCTCTCCAGGGCTCAGGGCAAGTCACACATGGTCCTGAACCAAGCATCTCACCACCACCACAGGAGGCAAAGGTCAGGCGTGTGGTGCTGTCAGAGGAGTCCCAAAGGTGCAGTGGGAAGAGGTGCTCCATTAGATGTGGCTTAGATGTGACATCTCATGGATGAAACCAGGCATGGAGCAAGTGCCTGTCATCCCAGCACTCAGGAGGCAGAACAGGAGGATCACAAGTTCCAAGCCAACTGGGCTACATTGTTAGACTATATCTCAAAAACAACAGGCACTGGTTTCAATTCTCCCAGTTACAAATGACTTCCTGACCTCAACTCAAGGAGCTTTGGGTCAACCGAAGCGGGAATGTAACTGAGACATGAAATAAGAAGTCCAAGCGTACTTCGAGCTTCAGGCCTGGTTGGATC